TTTTAGTCTTAACAATCAGTAGAAGATCTAATGAATATTTAAAATTCTGACAGCAAAAAAAACGTTAAATTAACATAAAATAGAGTAGAGCTGTTAATAAACCAATAATCAATTGTTAAGTCTTTGATGAATTGAAAGCAATTGAAATATGAGATGGAAATCAAAACAATATGTGTGATGTGTGCTACTTATATTGACATAAGTAGTAGATGATGTTATTCGTGAATAGAATGTCTGGCAGCAGAAAGACAAGAGGATCGAACAATAACAAGTCCTGTAATTTTGTATCGAATGCATTCAATTGTCCACACTTGTGTTCTGTTCACTAAATATGTTTTATGAGTGTCATACTTTGAGAATAATCGTTCGTTCAAAAACATAGAATATTTTAAAATCTTTATTTAAATGCTTCATATTATAGTTTAAATAACTGATCATCATTTCATAAATCAAGGATTAGAACAAAAAGAGTAAGACTCCTTTTTTGTATCTGCATGTAAATTCTACTATAATCTCAATGAAAATGACATTTCATAAACATTCAGATATGCTTAGAAACATGCCAAATCCTTATTATACTGTTGCTTCATTTGAAAGTGAAATTTCAAATGAACATATTTGGTACCAGTTAAAAGTTAAATTAAATATTTGTGTTTTTACCATATATTAGTCATAAAGATGAATACTATTTTCTATTCAACATTTATATGATAACAGGGTGTTTCACGAATAAAAAGCTTAGTGTTTAAAGGCAGTCAAAGTAACATAGAATATAATCTAGAAGCTAAACATTAGAAGAAAAACAACTAAACATCCTGTCATAAATAGTGTGCCATATGAATTATTTATTAATCTCTTATTCATTATAACGTTATATTGTCCTACTATCTTCTTTTCTTATCAAATAATCTTTGAATAATGACAATGGTATGTTTAGTACTTAAAACAATTCATAATTCGTAAGATGAACTGCTTGTTTCAATCTATAGTGAAATTTAAATCAAAGACAAATATCTTAGTCAAATTAACTGTTGAATTTGATCAAGACTTTGATAATATTGATAATACTATATAAAGTTTGATTCTGAAATAAGATTGTTTATTCGAATAAAGCCTAATGAGTTCTAAGCATTCTCATATTTTTACATAAGAAACTAGGTTCTTAATAGTTGAATTCATGAGTCAATTAAAGTTAGACTACCATGGAAAACCTGGGAGTACTAGATGGCCATTTCATCCTAGTATGGATCTCTTCAGCAGTGCGCATCCACGATCCCGCCTCGCAAGATTCGAACTTAGGACCTATCAGTCTTCCGTCCAAACGCTTAAACTTTAAATCACTGAGCCGACATCCAATGGTGTTAATATCTAACTTTAAACAATCCACGATTTTGTTTTACAATTATTTAAATTTTATGATATCCATTATACAGTTCAATTAATGAATATCATATTAAAGAAATTAATTACCAGATAGATGCCTGTGAAAAGAATTATCTTATTGAAAAAAAATGTCAACCTCTCAAAGTAATTTTTTAATAAGATTTATGAAATCCCTAACAACAAACAAATGCCATTAGCTTATTTGAACATCATATTCAGATGAAGTGATTTGTTTAACAGTGAACAACAATCTAACTAAATTGATTCTTGAATTCAAATAATATTGTTTTAATGTTCGATTGAAACGCTTAAATTAAGATGACTGTATTACTGTCAAGATTTACAATAAACTGGATTATTAAAAAAAACATTGGTCACTTTTTAAAAGTTGTTTATAGAAAGTATTTTACTAGTATAGGGGTTGTGGAGATTATTAAGTTTTTGATTGAGATCAAGAACCGATTGATGTTAGACCACCTTTGGAAACCTGGAAGCACTGGAAGGCCGTTTCCTCCTATTGTGAGACTACTCAGCAGTGCGCATCCACGATCCCGCTCACGTGATTCGAACCCAGGGCCTACGGCCTCGCGCTCGAACGCTTGACCTACTGGACCACTGAGCCGGCATCCAATGGTGATAGTGTATTTTTATTTTATTAAAAAAGGTAAAAAACAAATTTAAATTCCTACATTGGTTAAGAATACTTCATTGGCTTTTTTAACATTGCTGACCTACAATGTTTATCAATGATAATGAATAAATGTTTCATATAAACTAGAGAAAAAAAAGAGGTGACGAGGGTAAATAAATTCTGAACTCAGGAATGATAATTAAATTAATAGGCTTATTATGAAAATAACTCTATTTTATATACCTATTGAATGGGTGTATTTGAAATGTAACACAGATAGAATATTGTTGTCAATATAATTGTAAGAAATGTTGTGATTGTATACATAAGGACATATCACAACTAATTAGTTAAATACCCGTTAGAAACTAATAATACGGTTAAAAATCTATGTCTGTAATACAATCTAACCAAAAATATGGTGAAAATTATGAAAATTCCAAAGTTTCTAAAGTCATCTGGATCAAGCATGTTAGTGAGGGCATTAAAATATGATTTGATTGACAAATTTATATGTAACTTTTGAAGTACATTGATTACAATTAAATAAAACAGAATATGCATAATATTCATGGTTGATTGATCACTAATTGGTGATCCTTTTTATTCTTTTCTGATCCTTTAAATATTGATCGTGATCTATTTTGGTCAAGTCGAAATACAGCCATTAGTTTAGGTGACTCAACTGTGTTAATATGTTCAGTAGTTGATGATAATCAACAGAAAATCTTCCATGCTAGTTGGAATTTATCAACAAGACTTATCTGTTATAGGTATTTTTTGAAATTCAGTAGTGAATTTCCCTATTCACAGTGGTTTATTGTAAACTAGTTAATGAGCATCGTCATGCATTTAAGTTATCTTTTTATTTTGATATATATCCAGCTGAAACAATACATGATAGCTATCAAATAAATTAATCAAATCTATAGAGTTAGGTTAGATTTAATCCAGAAGAATTTCTCTTTGCTCACCTTTCACAGAATGTAGAGTCGTTCCTAAGGAATATCAAACATTACTTCTAAAGTTTATTAATATATAACTTCTAGGAATAGTGATCCAGATTTTTAGGAAAAATTTACTTTATTTTTTTAGTAGTGTCGTATCAAAACTTCAGTGTAATCTTGATGTTTGTCATTAAGCCTCAAAACATTCAAATTAACGACAACAGTATACCTCTTGGATTCATTAATATGTTGTCATAAATGAGTTGAGTAAACGAGGCTCTGCAATAACCTAGATTAATCGACTGTGTTTCGTGTGTAATAACTACGTCCTACTTTGATGGACAGCAAATTAGAGTAAATTCATGGCACAAATATGGACTGTGATTTTAACAAAAACCCATAATGACAAGAATGTGAAATCCAGTTTAAGCCGTAATGTGCTCTACATGTTTTATCTATGACGAAAACATTGAACAGGATAATTCACGTGATAAATTGTATGAGTAATAAAGAAAATTCTACTGAATCTGGAGCTGTCAAATAGAAGTCTCTCTTAACATCGAAACTCAAAGTGAAGTGCTATACACTTCTTTTCATTATTTTCAGAAAATGAGGATTATTACTGAAAAAAATGATAGAAATATACGGCAAAACTGGTAATAAAAACGGTACAAGCACAAAAATTACAAATTTTGAATCAAAAATCACTAAAGATGAAGTGAATACACAATTGATGAACAAAATTTTTTAATTCTTATTCATATATTTCTGAATCCAATGATAACATTAAGGTTTATACACGAACGTTCTGTTTACTTAGTTGAGGCATACAGGGTCCAGTTTTCAAGTATATCATGATCTACACTTTTCAACACTTACAAGTGATCTAGAAAATCACATTCACCATAGGATTATTTCACTATAATAAATAATGAATATCAGTATTCAACTATTAAGTAAGATATCCCGATTACTAACTGTAAATTTATTGAAGTAACCAAATATTTATTTTCTAAACTCTCAGAAATAAACAAAATCAAGAATTCTGTTGTTTTGGTTTGATGAAATCGATAACGCAATGAGCTATTAGACGACCTACTATGGAACTAATATCATAACATTAACTAAATACTGTTTGGTAAACATTCAGGAAGTTTTATTGAAATCAGTGAATAATAATGTCTCTCCACCTCATTGCCTTATGCTAATTTGCTATGATATGGTTTTAAGAAAAAAACTCAGATTTTACACCGTTATTCTAAGACACTTCTAGTTAATTACTGTGAATGTTCATAATTTGTGAGCTACGCATATGAGTGAATTGTTCAGTAATGACTTAGTACATTTTTATTGATTTTGTAAATAAATAACCTGAAAAGTAATGTAACTATGGTCAAAATAGTGATTAGTTCATGTCTCTTTAGTTGTTTCAGCAAAATATTTCATTTTTGTTCCACTAAAGAACATCAACATTATTTCTCGAATAAATAATCACAAGGGTTTGATCATTTTATCATACTCTTCATTATTCAAAGTAATCGCCAAAGATGTTTATTGCCACGATGAAGAGTATTACCATAAAACATGAACAGACTTTCTGAAGGTTAAAATGACTAAACTGAATGTTCTTTCATATACTTTACAAGTTTATTTACATTGTAATCAGTAAATAAGTTAGCTAGAAAATCCCTAATTCTACTTAGACTTTCTACTCCAGCTTTCATTTAAGTAGACGAAAGCCATAGATAGTACCACAGAATGATGATTCATGCGTCATTTGTCTAATTGATAATGTGACGATATAAAACAAAATTATCGTAAATACATTAAATATTTGAACGAAATGTTGTTATTTTTAAAAGGCTATTCAGGACCATAGTCCTTATGTTCAAACACATTGACAACTGTAATATGACTTTATAACGTTGACTAGAACTTATTGTTTGATAGAGAGTAAGAATTACTCTTTAAACAATCAGTAATTTAGTTCACGGTAAGAAAAACATCCATTTAATTTTTTTAATTTTAGAAGCATTTACCTGAGAACCGGAAAGATGTTTACCTTCGTTAATGCTCACACTTCTACCGGTGTATCCAATTGTCCGACGGTCAGATGAACCTAAAAGAGTATAAAAAACAAATAATTTAACGTTATGAAAACACGCTTTGTTATTTAATGAGGTTACTGGAAAACAATGTGAAATTATGACAAAATTAGTGAATAGATTTTGAATTTGAGACTACTCAGGAGTACGTGCACAAGACTAAGTACTCGATCATATTTGAGACTTTCAGATCTTTGTTTCAGTTGTGCTGTAGTAAAACTTTTACTATTTATACCAGTTAATCAAGTTGTACTTACATAAATGCGTACATAAAAATCCTTTCTCAAAATATTTGAGGTACTCAGGAAAATTAACTAATGAATCTTACTTATTAAAGTATAATCATCTTCAGGGTAGGTTTATAATCATACTGTGTAAATCGGCTTGATATATCCATCTAATGAGTCTAAAATAGAATGAAACTGATGTCATATATTCGTGTGCTAGCTATAATCCAAATAATACACAAACAATTGAAAAAGAAAAGAAAAACTTCAGTTCATCTTATGGATGGTTTTATTAAATTAATAACATAATATCACAGATTGAAATCATGAGTCAATTGAAGCTAGACCACCATGGAAAACCTGGAAGCACTGGATGGCCATTTCGTCCTTGTATGGGACTCCTCAGCAGTGCGCATCCACGATCCCGCATCCCGCGAGATTCGAACCCAGGACTTGTTAATCACGCGCGCGGACGCTTAACCACTGAGCGGGCCGGCATCCAACGGTGTTAATGTCCAACTTCAACCAATCCACGAAATCGCTCCACCGTATACGATTGTCTTCAGTTAGCTGATATCTCACAACAGACCTGGTTGAACTCCAGTAGTCACGGCTGCTCACTAGAACACCAGGAACTGCCCCTTGAAGTCAGTCATCAGTGAACAGATGAGTATTGTCGGAAGGGGTTTGTGGAGATTTTAGAAATTTCACTCATGATTTCAATCCGTGAAATTTCTAATATCTCCACTAACCCCTTCTGATAATGATAACGTAATTGTTTATAATAACACGAAATAAGTAGTATATAGTCGTATATCTAATATCACAAGTATTTCTTATTTATTTACTTTTATCATTGTTTATCTCATTCTTCAATTTATTTATAATCAACTTTCATTGTAATCATTCAAATAATAAACCATCATTTCTTAGAAACAAACAAATAAATAATTCAAAAATGTTTACTCAATAATTCTCTATAAAACCTTTCTCTCATTTTTCTCATTTATTGGTGCTTTTAAATGATTTACAATGAAAAAAAGAATATCATACAATGTATATACATATATATATATATATATGTAATAAGTTGGTAACATTGATCTATTTTTTGTAATGTTTCCGATATAGGTAAAAGATATTCCCATATAAACCGATTCTTGTTTTAACTGTAATATTTTCTTTCTTATAAACAATGTTTTCTTTTTAAACAACAATACGATATATGAATTATGATAAATTGATGTGAGTTTGTTTATCAATCGACTTACTTTTGTAGTGTCGGTTATATTTTGTTAAGCCCCATATACTTTATCTAGCTTTCGGACAGCCCATTCTATATTCATTCTACTTGAGTCACATTCTGACCTTGTTATTTATTCGCTTATCAATCTTGACTGCTTTTTTTTATATGAGCGCGTAGGTGAATGTACATTTCTTATCCCATTACTGACCACATATCTGTAACGTACTTTTGTGTAACTATAAATATTGATTAACGCTTGGTTAAATGGGAGTTGGCTTACCAGCCATCTCCACTCTGCGTTCTTTTCTCTTCTTTCTATTCCATTCGCTTTATATACAATATATATGTATTCACAAGTCCATTCTCGTTATTCGATTTATTCAATTCCGTTATTGACTAACTCTATTAAAGTCGATGATTATATACGAGGATAGGCGATAACAAACATTCATTATGATCTACTTGGAGTCAGAACTCGGGCCACTAAACTTTCATTCAACTATAAAGTTTTTTTTGTAAATTTGTTTATATTGTTTATAGTATCTAAGAGTTAATGTAGTTTGTTTTAATGAAACTAATCTAACAAGATTTATTAGATAAATGTTTAAAAATAAAGAAAGTGATGTAAAAGAAACGAATAGTTAGTGATTGTTAAGATATGAATTATGGATTCGAACAAATGAAGTAACACTTTAATGTAATGCTAAGAGATGTTAAAGTTATGATAAAAAGTATCATGTTCTCAATAACTACTAAGTAGTTGGTGTTGGTTGATAGGAAACCCATAAATGTAGGTTTCATGCTAATTGAATTTTGTTAACAAGATATGCCCATAATTGTGAGAGAACTGATATTCTTTTGTAGAATTCAAACCCATTTCATAATAACATTTGAAAACTTAGATAAACTCATTCTACTTTTTCGTTTTCTTTTTTGTCTATCACTGTATACATGATGATTCAAAATAATTCAAATGAAGATAAACAAATATGCATTACATGTTAGTTCTAACAGAGTATACCAATTTTCATACAAGTTTTAAAACAGGTACATTCAAATGACAAAAAATGCTTATGCATTTTATAAAAAGTTAACATTTTGAAAGATCAAACAGTCTAGAAAGTTCACTTTCAAACTAGTTTCTTAATGTAGGAATTACAATGAATATATTCAGTGTATTCAGATTAAACACTAAACAAATGAAAATTAAAGTCTATTCTTTGAAATTCTAATCGCAAACAAGAATCAGTAATTAATTTTAAGTTGTTTAGAAACTGAGTTGAATGATGAATATCTTAACATTTTTTCTTTGTAAAGTTCATTACAATACGATAGATTTAATGTCAACTTATGGATCCTTTTTTTGTATTTTTCTGAAACATTCGCTGTCATAACATCATATTCTTCAATATTTCAGGAAACATCACTTCGCTAGATTTAGAGAGAAAAAAAAACATCGAAATTATTTTATTTTAACTAAGGAATCATTAGTTGTTTTACTAAATCTATAATCATCCCTATAGAGTTTTGAAGATTGTTGAGTCTTGACTGAGATTATACTAGAACGAAACTTCCGTCCAGTACTTTCGGATTTGAGATGGTGGAGAAGATTTGTAGCTCAGGTGGATGATTTTGGTGGAGTTTTGTTCTCTGAGCTGCATGGTTTGGTCGTGGAGCTTTCATCGTCCTTCTGAACGACATCATCAGCACAAACTTCAGATAGAAGTAAAGTGTTCGGATTTCTCCATATGTGTTTCACAGCTTGTTCTGTGCACCTCGATGTTGATTGTTTCTTATTGACCTTAAATTTGTCGTTGTTTACTTCTTTGTTTTGGTTGTGTCTCCCACTGTTTTGATTGTTGTTCTTATGTTTGTGCATGATTTTTCTGATTGGTTGATAAATTGGATTGAGTTCAATATGCTTGTTGATTGCTGATTGACCTGAGTCCCAGGCTTCTAAAAATTCTCTGGTGTTTTTGGAGTTTCCTCTGTCTAAGATTTCCACATTTTTTCAATCGAATGAGTGTCCGCAGTTGTCCATGTGTATTGATATAAGTGAAGAGATATCATGCCGTTTGACTGCTAATTGATGTTCATGTAGGCGAAGGTGAAGGGGGCATCCGCTTTGTCCGATGTAGTGTTTTTCGCAGTCGGATTTTCAATGATAGTCTAACATTGATCCATTCATGATTTCAATCAAATTCATAATTATAGTCTTCTTTTCAAACTAATTAAATTTTAAATCATAATATAAGCTGTTAACTACAATGACTTCACGGTGACATTCCTTTGCAAAAATCATTCTTCCTACTTTATTTATCTTTTTTAAAATTTATTTTCCCTTTTGTCTCTTTTCTTTTATGCTAATGTGTTATGTTCAGTGTGTTACTGTTATGTTTTCAAATATCATTATTGATTTTGGGTCTATTTCTCAGCTCTAGCATTTACTTTATCATTACTTAGAGATACTTAATGATTTTAGTGAGAATTCTGTAAATCTAATTAAAAAAAGTTTTAAATAATGGTGTTTGGGCTAAGATGTCATTTTAATAGTTGAGATCATGAGTCAATTGAAGCTACATCACCATGGAAAACCTGGAAGCACTGGTTTTCCATGGTGATGTAGCTTCAATTGACTCATGATCTCAACTACTGAAGTTACTATAATATCCACAAAAACCACTTCTGACATTAAAATGTAATTACTTATAAAAAATAATCATAGAATAGAATATATCTGTTTGATTTTTCAGTGGTTCTTATTTTATCTCTTCATTTCAATCTACTTCAAACCGATCGAACATGTTAATTGTTGTGAATTAGATGAGTATATAAATAATGTTTTTCCTTGGAGTAATGATAAATATTTTATAAATAATGTTAGGACAGTTATATCTAGCAGTTATTTGATGATACAACAACAACTACTACAAGTACTACTACTACTACTACTACCACAAGTTATATAGCTAAATATAGTGGAATAGTTTTTCTAATGTCAAACTTTTTATAGCACATGAAATATCAAATCATTTCTTTCAACTGTCAGTAACATGAACTTAAAACAATTTTCAAATGTTACCAAACGAATTGAATACCTTTAACCCCTATTTATCATAAAATAGGGTTGATAGTTACATTTTGCGTTTAAATATAATCATTCAAACAAAATATCAGACAGGATGTATTAAACGAAGTTACAGAGTTCTTTCATAATATATGAAAATCATATATTAAATAATTCATTCGTAAATCTTTCATCAATTGTTCTTCACGTTCTGTATGATTCTTCCAATTTGCAAACTTTTCCCTATTTCCCTTTTTACTTTCTTCAACTCGATTCTCTAAGCTTTCTGCTGCCATGCATTCTACTTATGATTTGTGCTGTATACTACTTAGGTCGAAAGTCATAAGTAGCATACATCATAAGAATAGCGTATATATACATCCATCATATTCTTATATTTCTATTTGGTTATTTATTAAAAGCACAATTTGGTCTAACACTTCACTATGTTATTATATTTTAAGGCTTGAATTA